TCATAGTATTTTTAAAATGGTAAATGAATATCATACAGTATCAAAGTACAGTATCATGAGCTCATAAACATATATAAATGCTAATTATCAAAACCCTGTATCTCAAAATTCATAAGTCATCAGTTAAATTAAACTGCCCTTGGTATTTTTTGCAAAGTAGGTCAAAGGTTAATGTCAGGTGGATTGTAATGCTGGTATTTTTCATAATGCTTTATGACAAATTGTGCACATGCTAAAAAAGCATATTAGACCTACCGCTTAAATGTAAAAAGTATGCTGTATATCGGCGCTATGAACTACACGTATTTCGAAAAGTAGGTCAAAGTTCAAGGTCAAGTAGTTCGCATCATGGAAATTTACAAAAGCCATAGTGCCAAGCAAGATATCAAATCCATACCTCTTAAAGTTCTCTCGATATTAGATGTGACAGACAGACAGACGCCGGATAGTGATCCCTAAGTGTCGCTCTGCTCTGCAGGCGACACCAAAACATTCTACCTATTAGCCACTTTTGATGTAAAAAAAATCTTTGGAATATATCTATTAACAGCTAGTAACTAAACCTACATACATTTTATTTGCTGAAAAAAAGATCAGTATTTACTAACAATTATTATAGGAATTACACGAACAAACTAAATCGCCACTGGTAAAGAAACACTAAAAAACTAGTATCGCATCATCTCGGGTCTTTCCGTCAGAGGTCGGAAAAATAACCTCGAATGTGTTAACATCACTAAATGTTAAAATTTTATGCAAGATGGAGTCGCTTCCTATTTATTAAAGTATTGAAAAGACAGACTTAAAAGTCGCGAAACAACCACAACTTCAAGTATGATGCTGAAGCACCGTACCCATTTTTATATCAGATTCAGTTTGTTTTACACTTGAAACACATTCAAGCATTCATATGATTGTTTTCTGTAAACAAATTCACATTTCTTTTCAAATGTTTACAGAATAAAAGTCCTATCCTTATCGGGGAATAATACAACAAATCACCATGGCAAACGTTTGGCATTGAAGTATAAATACGTTGGGGCCAATGGGAATATTCAGAACACGCGGTATGGAGGGGACTGGTTGACTGTGGAGGCCACTACGGCAGTTAGCGAGAGGGGGCACTACCTGGTATCCTTTCCATCACTGGACATTTTTCTATATGTCACTATAAAAATTACTGCACAACAAATGATACTTCATAACGAGCATTTATTTCATTATCCAAAATTGCGCTGATCGAGTAAAAGACTATAATTTGCATGGATATGGTTTTTAAAAGAAAAAACTCAAAATATAAAATGACAAAAAATGAATTCATTGAAAGAATTTAAAAATACATACATATTTTTCTTTCATCAAATTCATTAATTCAGTGCAAATTAAAATCAGACTTCTTAAAACAAAGTTCGGACAATTTAAAAGAACTTTTAATCTCTCTAATACTGGACTGGATACTGAATACCTTTCTGTTCTTTACTACCATTTGTATTTCTAGGCAGCGTTGATCGCGGCCAGGATGACCAAGCATATGCCCTCCACTATCTTTAGTACACTAGCCAGATACGCAAAGATCTCTGTCTTTGCACATGGTCAGGATACTACCATCTTCCCCGAGTTTTCTGCTGAGAGGGATACAACTTGGTGTCGTAGTAAGAGTTATCTTTCGCTTCCTTTAGCTTGCTCTGATAAAATCGTTTTTTCAATTGTTTTCATCTTTTAGAATTGATTATAAAACCCAAAAGTTTATCAAGAGCCCCACCCTTACCCCAGCACATCTGACCAAGGGGTCATGCAATTCACTACTTTGGAAGAAGCACTCTTGCTCATCATAACTATACACTTAGCTTCTTTGCTTTTTAACCAGAAGCAGAAAAGAATATTTCCAAAGAAATTTTGCTTTTCACTATATAATCAATAGAGCCCCCCCCCCCCTTTTCACCCTTGACGCTGGGTAGCCCCGCCCTAGCACCAGAACCCTTGTCACTGGGGCCATGAATTTCACAATTTTGAAAGAGGCATCCTTGCTTATCATAACTATGTATTTAATTTGTTTAAATAATACCCAGGAGTAGAGAAGGTTTTCAAAGAAATAATGCACTTTCACTAAATGATCTATATAGCCCCACCCTAGCAACAGAACCCCTGACCCTGGGGCTATCAATATCACAATTTTGGAAGAGTCACTCGTTCTTATCATAACTGTGTATTTAATTTGTTTCAATTATACCCAGGAGTAGAGAAGAAGATTTTCAAAGAAATAATGCACTTTCACTATATGATCTATATAGCCCCGCCCTAGCACCAGAACCCCTGACCCTGGGGCCATGAATTTCACAATTTTGGTAGAGTCACCCTTGCTGATATAACTTTGTATTCAATTTGTTTCACTAATACCCCGGAGGTGAGAAGAAGATTTTCAAAGAAATAATGCACATTCACTATATGATCTATATAGCCCTGCTCTAGCACCAGAACCCCTGACACTGGGGCCATGAATTTCACAGTTTTGGTAGAGGGCTCAATGCTTATTACAATCATGCCAACAGTTTGACTGCTTGATGTCCAGGAGGAAAGATGAAGATTTTTAAAGATTGCATTAATTTTGGTAATTTTAGCCCCACCTCTCAGGGCTCCAGGGGACAGGGACCATGGAATTCAAAAATTTTGTTCCCCTTCATACATAGATGCAATATACTAATATTGGCTGAAATTTGTTCAGCGGTTTCAGAGAAGAAGCAGAAAATTTTCAAATGTTAACACTAGGGATGGCAATCAAATACAGAATTGCCAATCGGTTAACCGCATGACGTTCCGACCGATAAGTCGGTTAATCGTATCAAAAATTGTCGACATAGCTACACTCAAAAGTTTAAACTGTAAGACTACAAAGATGTTCATGTAGTAGTATTATGCTTATATTTATATATGATCAGAATACTACAGATATTGTAATTCAATTTTAAACTGAAGTTGCAGATGCATAAAAAAATTCAGAAAAGATGTCAAGGAAGTTCACCATAATCAAAATTAAGTCTGAATTATCGATTAACTTACGATGTGTTTTAGAATATAATTTGATAGGTAACTGCAAAGGATAGAAGAGGTATATTACACCTTTATAATCAGTACATAGTAGTCAACGATCATTTAATTAAAATCATTAAAGAAACACAGGGCAGGGCGTGTAACGACGTGTTTAAACAGCAATTAACGACTCGGAAAGTGACTAATTACATCCACTCAATCTGGGGGAGCTTTAATTATCTCCAAATCAGCTTATATAGATAGGCGAACATGCTAACATTTCATTAAATTTCATTTGTATTTTTTAAATCGAATTTTCAGGAAATTGTATTCAAATTTACAAATATATTTATTTTTTCCGACTTACCGATTACAGATTTTCTAACCGATTGCCATCGTTCCGACCGAGTAACCGGTAAACCGGTTACAAATTGCCATCCCTAGTTAACACACTACGCACGACGACGGACGAAAACAGATAGCAATAAGTCACCTGAGTGACCCAAGTGACCTAAAAAAGAAATGTGGTAAACAATAGGTCTTCAATCCAAATATAATAATCACTTAAGAATTTTAAAATCAAGGACGGTTCGATCAGTATCTGCTGTGCAACCCCCCTCCCCTCCCGACACCAATGATAGCCTTTAACGTCATCCCAACGGATGCAAATGAGTGTATTTAAAACTGTATTGGTATACTATCCCACTACAAATGTAGAACTTGGGTCAACTGATGCAGAGTCTGGGGATGCCATTGTCTTTAACGGATATGCCAATCTATTTTGTCCATTGCATGTTCAATGGGTTTAAATCTGGCGATTTAGATGACCAAGCCAGAACTAGATGCTGTAGCTCTGCAAGAAAGCACTCCCGACGAGCCGTATGTTGCTTTGTATTCAGATTGAAATATGGCTATAGAGATCAGAATGCTACATTATTGGAAACATATAATATGCAGGTAAGATATCATCCGAGTACCGTTGTGCCGTCAAAGTCCTTTGAATATCAACCAAATGGGCCCTGTTTGTATACAATACCGTTGCCTATATCATAACACTACCAACACTAAATATAGGTACCATCCTCCCGGAGGCAGTTTTCTGCAAAAATTTCATTACGAAGCTTATGCACTTCTTCCATCAGGCTTTACAATAAAAAATCTGGAGTCTAGCTAAACGGAACTGTTGAGCGGTGTAACTGAGGCCGTTCTCTGTTGGTCTGAGACCTTCAAAGTCGATATTGGCAGTCTTAAGGGTCAGAATAATGGCATGAATAAGTCCCCTGGCTCTAATTCTAGCAGTCTAATTCCCGTAGTCAATTTCCAAGGACCTTTTTTGATATTCTGTGCAGTTCAAGGAGAGTTAACACTGTAGACGACATTATTGTGGAACGCTGATGAAGATGATGCAAACCATCGAGGCGATCCTGTGCTGCTGATGTCACGCGTGGTCTGTTATATTTTGACGATCATTTGTTATACTTTATTGTTGGTATCTGTTTTATTTGTGAGTTTTGGTGCTTTTTGTATCATTAAAACCTTTTCCAATTGTAGACTGTGGTAGACCTGCTTCCACGCGCCCAATTTCCTTATTGTTTGTGCATCAATCAGATGTGGCATTTTTGATAGCTTAAATTTTCAAAAATACAAGAATAAAAAATATCGAGAACCCCAAGCTTTTGATAGACTTTTTGTACCTGAATGATATGGATCAGAAACCAACAAAAGAAAAGTATTAAAAAGACAAAATTTAAGCAATTTGTAAAATCAAGACTTATTGTCTGTGAGTTTTGTAGACTTGCTGTCTAGTTGACAATAGCCTTAAAATGATGTATTTCGCTGAAATAAATCGTGTAAAAAATTGCAAGACGACAAAACATTTTTATATTATTAATTGATTGCTAGTAATCATATTCATATTATGTGTTTCTTTATTTGAACAGTATATACAACATTTTGTATCCTCAAGATTGTCTAAAGTGAATGGTTTCAGATACATGTGCCGGTTCCTGTTACTCTACATGCACGGTAGATGGTCGGAAGTACACCACCCTGGCCGGGGTGGGAGGGAAGACCTGCAGTGTATTGGAGGATAACCTACTGTGTGATGCTTATGACCCGTACAGCCACACCTACAACGTCCTCGTTCACGAGTTTGCTCACACAGTCCACAGACACCTGCCGACCTCTATAAGAAGCCAGGTAAGACTGAAAATGGTTAGAACGTGCCCTTGGTTCTAACGTCTACATACTTTGGTGCTGTTATACTTAAACACAATCTGGCAAACTATGATGGTATATACAGATAATAAATGAAGTGTGTTTCAAATACATACATGGCTCATTCTGGATATTTGAATTCAACTTTTATCACGTGCACTTTTTATCACAATCACAAAGAGATCGGCCGCTCTTGTGGCCTATAATAATCCATATTTGGAACTAACAGTTTGCATTGAATAGTGCTTCTTGTAACCGAAAATAAGAGAAAAATGAATAACTTTGTCCTTCGTTATCACGAAAGGTGAAGATCTCGAACAGTAATCAAGCTCAAAATCCAAAATTAAACATCACAACTTAAGAGCAGAGCAAACAGGAATCCCTGGAAACATCAGGGCTGGGATCAGGTGTCATAAAGAAGTAAAGTTCTTCTGTCGATCAGTAACACTTGCCGTCTATTTTAATGGATCAGGTAAACGGAGTAACCATTAGACAAATCACTATGAAAATAACGTCTTGTCAATTTTCGTTAAAAATTGGCCGACCTCACAACAGATTGTAATTCCATGTTATTGTATCAACCTTATAATTTACGAAATATTTGATTAAACGAAATTATTGATATCCTTGTGACATCAACTTATTTGCCAGTAATCTGTCTTTGTGTAGAAATGGTTCCTACGCAGTACATGCACTTGCCTTACGAATAAACTGAGAGGCATGAACCCCGTATGCAAGTGATAAATAGGGATGGGGTAATCGTAGTCAGTTTTCATCGATTACAACTTGCTATGTTATCAAAAATCCATTTTTCTGATTACGACTAACTGTAATTATATCAATTATTTTTGTTTAGAATCATGTAAAAATGATTATTTTTAGCTCACCTGAACTGAAAGCTCAAATAAGCTTTTCTGATCACATTTTGTCTGGCATTCGTCTGTTTACCCATCTGTAAACTTTTTATATTTTCGATTTCATCTCAAGAACCACTGGGCCGATTTCAACCAAACTCCACAAAACGTACTTGGGTAAAGGGAATTAAAGTTTGTTCAATTGAAGGACCAAACCCTTTTTCAAGGGATGATGATTAAGAATTAGTGAAAAACTGCTGGCATCATTTAAAAATCTTCACAAGAACCAATATTGGCCAGACAAGGTGAAACTTACGTGAAAGCTTCATTACATAGTGTAAATTTAAGGGTTTTTTTTTCAAATCATGATCACGGAGGGGGGGGGGGGGATAGGGGGCCACAATGGGGAATCAAATTTTACATAGGAATAAATAGGAAAAAGTCTTTTGAAAATTTTCTTCTCAAGAACCACTGGGCCGATTTCAACCAAACCCCACAAAACATACTTGGGTAAAGAGGATTAAAGTTTGTTCAATTGAAGGACCAAACCCTTTTTCAAGGGATGATAATTAAGAATTAGTGAAAAAAAATCTTCACAAGAACCACTTGGCCAGAAAAGTGAAACTTACGTGAAAGCTTCATTGCATAGTGTAAATTTAAGTTTTTTTTTTTTTTTTTTTTTTTCAAATTATGATCGGGGGGGGGGGGGTGGGGGGGTTAGGGGGGCACAATGGGAAATCAAAGTTTTACATAGGAATAAATAGGAAAAAGTCTTTTGAAATATTTTTTCTCAAGAACAACAAAGTCATGATTCCTATAGCATCCTCAGGTAGTGTAGATTCAAATTTGTTCAAATCATGACCCCTGGAGAAGTGTGGGCCACAATAGGGGATAAATTTTTTACATCGGAAAATATAGGATAAAATCTTTAAAAACCTTCCCAAGAAAAACAAAGCAATGATTAAAATCATATTTGTAGTGAAGCATTCTCAGATAGTGTACATTCAAGTTTGTTCAAATCTTGACCCTCGGGTTGAAGATGGGGGCCACAATAGGGGGGGGGGGGCATTTTTTAAACTTTGGAATATATAAAGGGAAAACCTTCAAAATCTTCTCAAGAACAACAAAGCCATGTTTAGTCATATTTGTATGGAAGCATCCTCGGGTAATGCAAATTCAAACTTGTTCAAATAATGACTCCCGAGGTAGGGTGGGGCCACAATGGGATATTAAAGTTTTACATCAGAATATTTATAGAAAAAAATTCAAAAATCTTCTCAAGAACGACAAAGCCATGATTAGTCTTACTGATATGGAAGCATCCTCAAGTAGTGTTATTTCAAACTTGTTCAAATCATGACCATTGGTGTAGGGTTTGCGCCACAGTTGGGAGCCAAAGTCTTACGTAGGAATATATAGGGAGAACAGCTTTAAAAGTCTTCTTCTTAAGAGCACCAAAGCCATGATTAGTCATTGATATGGAAGCATCCTCAGGTATGTTCAAAACAAATCCGGGGTTAGGACGGGCTACAACAGTGGATCAAAGTTTTACATAGAAATATATAGGAGAAAAAAATCTGCACAATGGGAGGGTCATATTGACTCAGGTGAGCGTTGGGACCCATTGGCCATTTGTTTGATTATCTTATGGCATTGGTAAAATGAAATACGTCATACCTATTGATGAGATTCAGTGAATAATATTTTCAATCCGCATATGTGCCAATAGTGTTATCTTCTATTACCTTCAAAGATTTTTTTTTAAAATCATATCCACTCAAAAAGACATCGTTGATACATATCTAAATGCCGAATCGAAGGCCTCGGAGAATTTTTCTTCTCATAGAGGTTTTTCATTAAATTCTTTAAAAAGAATACAAAATCAGGTTTGCTTATAAAGGGGCAAAATTAGTAATCATGCAAATTCCAACAGATTGTTTGAATACATGGTGTCTAATCCAAAGACTTCATAGCTATTGTTTATAAGTCCAGAAACATTTTAATATCAACTTTAGAATACTTGTGTGTGGAATGATTATGATTAAAAAACTATTGAAGTTTTGTGGATTAGCAATTACAAGATACGAAAATAATCGACTTTCATTTTTAAAGAGGAAGCAGTTGTCTATGATATCAAAAAGCCTGGTTTATCTTTATCAGGAAGAATGGTTGTGCAAATGTTAAAAGGGTTCCTCTAAAATGTAATTGTTATAATGAGCTTTAACAAAGGCTATGCTGTTGCATGCTTTGTCAGCTGGAACCAGTTCTGACTCTCTACTCACTTCTGAATTACTGGGGACAGAAGGATAGATAGTACACAGTTTGCTATCAGCAATGTAATTCGAGATTTCAATATGCACCCAAGGGCGAGAAATTCTTTCCTTTCCAGCTTTGGGGTGAACTCAAGAAAGGTGCAATTAGATCGCCGATATTCCCCTAAGAGTGATTCGAGACAATTGATTTAAGTTCTGTTCTAAAACTTCTAAACAAAGTGTCATATAAACATGAAAGGATCTGTGAAGGAACTCGTGACGTTTGATTATGAAAATTGAACAAAGTCAAAGATCAAGGTAAACTTTAAAAAAAATGCTGATGGCAATAATGAGACGGGAAAATAACGAACAGCGACCATGCTCAAAAGTCAATTTAAGACCGCGGAACATTAACTGGCAAAATTGGAAATATGCAGCTTACGTCATTTCCATCTGTTACAGTCAAAACATTTAATGATAGACAATGAAATGGGCGGGTACAATTCGACACGGACGTCCGAGAAAACATTGGATTGAAATTCTAGTTTGAAATTTATTTTCAATCCACCTCAGCTACGCTAGAACGCACGGTGTTACTGATTGACCTAGAAGACAAATAAGTTGAAATATATATAAATCAGAATTTCTATCCCATGTTTTTAAAGAAATATAAAGAGACAAATATTTGATTTCTGTTTGGTATGTGTATGTGGGGTCGGGGAGGGGGTGGGGGGTGGAGGAGGCTGAACGATCTTGGAAAGGAATAAGAAAGTTTTCTTCTAGTTTGGACATCCCCTCCCTGTTTTTGTTTGTCAAACATTTTTCAGAGAACAAAAACTAAAAAATAAAAGCTCTTGTCATCCTAGAAATAAATATATTCTTCATGTGAAGGCATGATCTAACTCGACAATTTTTGACAGCCCCCCCCCCCTTTCTAGAATCAAATGGCCGTCCCCTGAAAAAAAATATTCTCTGTCTTCTATGACTTTGACGTGCCCTTAAAATTATAGGCTAAAAAACTCATATAAATATGAATTTCAGAAACATGTATTTGGGAATTGAATTTATTTGTCTTTTGGATCATAATTCACGCTTAAGGCTTGGAAACGGTTCAGGTGGATTGAAATTGAATTTCAATTTTTTTCAGTGAAGAAGAAAATAAATAATGTCTTTTGTCATCCTACAAATAATAAATAAATTCTTTTATGTGAGGCATAGCCATAAATAATCTGATTGGACAAAAATTGCAAGCTCCCCTCCCCCCTTTCTAAAATCAAATTACCGTCCCAACTTTTGTGTGTCCTCAAAATTGTTATACAATAATTTCAAACTATACGTATTTGGGAACTGAAATTGCGTATTTGTCGTTTCGATCATACAATTATAACTTTGCGAAAAATAGCTCAGGTGGATTAAAATGAATTTCGAATTGCAATTTCAATCCAATGTTTTCGCAGACGTCCGTGTCAAATTGTACCCGCCCATTTCATTGTATATCATCAAGTGTTTGACTGCGACATATGGAAATGACGTAAGCTGCATATTTCCAATTTTGCCAGTTAATGTTCCGCGGTCTTAAACAACACAAGTTGTGAGCACAGGCAACACAGACCTCTGGTCTTTTTTCTGCATAATATTTATAAAAATCCTATTCCAAGAGTTTATCTGTGTAAATGGATTTATCCCGCTTACACCACTGTGATAGTTATGTCAATGTATTATACATTTGTAAACCTGCACTGAAAAATAATAGTGCATCGTATGAAAAAAAATTAAGGCATGAAGGATCTCACATATATTATCGCAGTTTACAATTCTTTCAACCTGATGGAGTAGTTGCAAGTGTCAAGGCATTTGCGTATAGGTCACCAAAACTACATTCAATAAAATTTGTTTTAACATATTCCGAGTCTCTAATTTTGATTCTTAAAATGATGGTGTTTTGGAGATGTTTGTGTTTTTTGATTTGGAATAATTGTATTGTATGCTTCCTCCTCAGATTACTGCGGCCTATAATAACGCCCGTTACCATAGCCTTTGGACTGCCAGTTCATACGCCATGTCTAATGAACGTGAGTACTGGGCCGAGGGTTCTGGGTCCTTCTTCATGGTGGACAAACATCAGACGGCTACTGGAGGAATGAACACGTGAGTACTGTAGAGGAACCGTCTGGTCGACTGGTCGAGTGAAATGCTTAATTTTATAATGAACAGCCCGATTGTGTGATAAATTGGTGTTCATATCGTATCACTCTCGGTTTGACAGTTCAAAACTTTATACAGATATTCCATTGAAAAAGTAGGTTTTATATCTTTAAAGGTTCCATAAATTGCATGATTCTTCCAAAGTACTGCCTAAATTTAAAAATTTTCATTTTGCCACTGCATTTACCGACATCAAAATGGAAAATTTCTGAAGTTTTATCTTTTTTTACGTGCAGAAATTGTCTATACTGATTTAACTCTCCATATACGTTATGTTGGACATTAGATTAATTATGTAGGATAACGCATATCCGAACATATATTAATACAAACTCAACAGGTGTGACCCAAAAGTTAATAACCCATTCTTAACACCTAGACATCCAAAGCCTGACCTGTACCATTTCTTTGCGCTTCAAAACTTTAAATAAAATTTAGGTTATGGAGAAATAACATTCAAAGCAAATATATTTCAAAGATACCCTAAAATGTACTGTATATGTGGATATTTCATACAAGTTTAATGAATTATAATTGATATAGGCAATAATTTTGCACATTTTTAAATTGAGAAAAATAGATGGTCCACATGTATTTAAGTTCACCCAAGTATTTTGTCATGGGTTTCTATCTTTCGTTGTATGTTGTGTGTCAGTAGTAAACTTGTGAATATGTCACTAAGCAAGTGCGGTTTAAGACTCGAATACATGTTCAGTGATAAAAATGATTTTTTTTTTTTCATTGAATTCGTCATAATGTGTTTCCGGTATCCGTAGATTCTACATAAAAGAACCCATATTTATGAGTCCCAAACCACATGTGGAGCCAATGTGTACACTATTTATATTTGAAATCACAAAATTTTTAACATAAGAACTTGCGACTGTTCAAGTCTGTATACAACCATTCCCCACGATAAATTAAAGTCCAGGCTTTTTGACATCATTGACATCTGCTTTTTCAATTAAAATGGAACTCGTAAATTTACTTAACTTGTCATTGGTCATTTGCAAAATTATTCTGATTGTACACACAAGTACTCTGAAGTTGACATTAAAAAGATGCTTGACCTTCTGATTGACAATATCTATGTGGTTTTTAGAGAACAGGTCTTTAAACAATCTTTTGGAATTCTCATGGGTAGCAATTGCTCCCCGTTGTCAGCAGACCTATTTTTGTATTATATGGAGCAGAATTTATTCAAAATCTTATACATGAGAAAAAGAACTCTTGCTGCTGCCTTCAACTCGACATTCCATATATCGACGATGCATTATCAATTAACAATAGTTACTTCCATTCATGTTTCATATTTAGATATTTTACTAGAAAAAGGCGTTAATGGTAATCTAACAACAATCTAACAACAAAACTTTATGATAAATGCGATGACTAACTTTTTAATCGTCAATTTCCCTAACTTATGCAGCAATATACCCTTATCACCTGCATGCTCAGTTGATTCGATACCCAAAAGCATGCTCTATGTATGAAAAGTTCTAATACGAAGTAAGTTATTGAAAAACAAGTTGATGAAACAAGAATATCAACAGTCTCATTTAAAGACATCATTTCGTAAGTTCTATGGTCGATACAATTACCTTTTCAGCAAATACAGTCTGTAATTAAGTCATTTGCTGACTGACGTTTTTCATACTTATTGTAAACAGATAGGTTTTGAGTTTGAGCCCTGCTGGACCGGAGGAGCGATTTTTTTTTTGTGGACACTACCAAATACTTATTATTTTACATTTATCAACAGATGTGGACACACCCATTGTCAGACAGAACAGGAAGCCCGTTATTACATTTACCAGAGAGACCCCAAGCTGTACTACGCCCTATCTTACGTTTTCCTTAACTACCAGTATTCGGTGCCGTCTTATTTAGCCACTTGTGTTACGGGGTGACAATAAAATTGATTAAACCTGTACTAAAATTGTCATTTCATGTTTCATGTGATGTTTTAATGCCATTACAGTACACAATTATGATTAAGTTTTGCCTAAGATTTTTATTTGTATATTTTTAGCTGTATACAGCAAAGCTATGATAAGTCATATTTATATGGAAGCATCCTCAAGCATTGAAGATTGAAGTTTGTTTAAATCATGACCCAGGGGTTGGGTCTGGCTACAATGGGCTATCAAAGTTTTACATTGGAATATTAAGGAAAAATCTTTAAAAATCTCAAGATCAACAAAGCCATGATCAAGCTCATTTATATAGATGTATCCTAAGGTAATGTAGGTATTAGTTTGTTCAAGTCATGTCCCCTGGGGGTAGGGTGGGGCCACAAGGGGCGATCAAAGATTTACGTAAAAATTTATCGGAATTTTTTTTTCTCATAAACAACATACAATGATTAGTCATCTTATATGAAAGCATCCTCATGTAATGTAGATTCAAGTTTCTTTGAATCATGGTCCAAAAGGGTAGGTTGGGGACACAATGGGCGATCAAAGATTTACTTGAGAATATATTGGGAAAATCTATTCAAAATCTTCTTCTCAAAAACAGCAATGCCTTGATTAGTCATATTTTAAATATGAAAGCATCCTCGGGTATTGAAGATTCAAATTTGTTCAAATCATGAGCCCAGGGTGGGGCCACAATGGGCGAACAAAGTTTTACATAGGAATATATAGCGACAATTTTTGAAAATCATCCTTTCAAGAACAACAAAGTGTGATTATTTCTAAATATTTGAAAGCATCATCAGGTAATGTACTTTCAATTCAACATTCAGCATCCTCAGGTAGTGACAATATAATTTTGTGCAAATCATGACCAGCTGGATGAAGGTAGGGGCACAATATGTGATCAAAGTTTTTTATTATACCTCTACTGACTGTTCACTATATAAAAGTAAATCGATATATTTTGCTGATTCCCTGAAAATCACCGTAAATGGACTGATTCCCTGCAAAAAGGTGCATTACTTTGAAGAACTGATACACGCCTATTCGGATAACCTAGCAATTTCTTTTAATCGTATGAAAAGTACCGATATGTTCCAAATAAAATCATGAATATTCATAATGGAGTTCAGTTCAAGTTATATATACATGTAAGGAGGCGGGGCCTAATTTATACGGGAAAGAGTATCGTGTTATTGTGACGTCAACATAGTAAACTAATGTACACTGAGATCTAGACGGATCTAGTGACTCTGGTAAGCATTGAGACCGAAGAACTCTCGTTTTAGGTTTCCTATAGCGCAAAACTTGGACACTGCCATTCCTTCTGTAATATTGGGTACCGATCTCTTGAAAAAAAAATATAGGATTTTAACATCACATTACAGTGTACATTCTACATTACAGTATTACATTGTGCCATTGTGCGTCTCCTATTTTATGCCCTTATCGGGTAGATATTATCTGGGGTTCCCCATAGCAAAAAAATGGACTTTGCCATTATACTTATATGGGAATGGGGTGTCATTTTGTGAGCGCTGTGCTCACAGTACCCCTAGTTTTATTTAGATAACACTGGACATGTATTCGAAAGTCTTTTTCTACGAACTTCATCATATTGACATCTCCTAATCAGCAAAGAATACCACTGCTTCTCTTTATGTGTATATATATAAGGAAAAAGTTGGGGGTTTCATTTTCGTAATTTTACAATATAATGTTGTGTCAAAGCTGATAGATGATAACGATGACCTATCATCAGGGCACCTACTTTAGTGTGTTCAATATTCTTTCTTGAGGAATTGATCCATCGAGTTCAATTTTGAACGTTAAATACATAATGTAGAACTTAAATCAACAATTATTCATGTACATGTACATATATTAATTTAAATTTGAATGTCATCATTAAACACACTGATCTTTCCCAAACTTATATTCCAAATGCGTAATCTTAAATTTAATAACATGTCTATATTTTTTGTCTCGTATTCATCGATTAGATTGAAGAAGTTCTGTTTCCTGAAACAAAATATTCCAATCAATGAGGGAGGAGTGGGGGTATGAAAGTTTAGACATGGAAAACTGATTAAAGTCATGCCTTCAATTTTAGGACACTGTTAATCTTTTCATAAGTTCCCAATTTGAACATGCCCACGACTAGTTCTTTTACTTTAAGCCATTAGATCGTTCTGATAGATATAGAATGACCTCAAATTGGTCATTTACATGTAACCTACCTTTTCACTGTCATTTGTGAATGAAAAATACGTCACAATTTGTCATGCACTTTCAAAGAAGTAATTCACTTAGATATCGGAAAAATAAACTTAGCCAGATTGCTGTAAAAGTTTTATCAGCCAATGAATTGATCGGTCGATGTATGTTGTGCAACTGTGCCCTTCGAGAATTTTTTACTTATACAAAGCCGTCATGGATTTATATATATATATATATATATATATATATATATATATATATATATATATATATATTGTTTTACGTCCCGTTTAAGAATTTTTCACTCATATAGACAAGCGGTCATAAACATGTAAGCTTATGTAGAGCGCTCGCCCCGTAATCGGAAGGTCGTGAGTTCGAATCACGGCCGCGACTGACCTAAGTCGATAAAACAATGGTAGCAACTGTTCCTTCGCCAAGCGCTCGGCACTTTGAAGTGAAAGTTCCGTGTCCTTCGGATGAGACCTTAAAAACCGAGGCCCTGTATCACGGCAGCCGTTGGCACGATAAAGAACTCTCACTGCTCAATGGCCCTGAATGCCGAGTAAAGGTCTAAATTTGAAGCCATTCACCGGTATATGGTGACGTCTCTATATGAGTGAAAAATTCTCGAACGGGACGTAGAACAACATACAATCAATCAGTCAATCATTCTTACAAAAATCTCACTGTATATCGGTGATGGGCTTCAAATTTAGACCTATACTCGGCAATCTGGGCCATTAAGCAATGGGGGTTCTTTATCGTGCAGGGGACAGGGTACCTTGCTTTTGAAGGTTTCATCCGAAAGATCCGTGAATTTCTTTCACTTCTAAAGTCGGTCTTAGGTTTGACGCCATACGGCAAACGAGAATAGAACCCGGGCCTCCCGATCACGAAGCAAACGCCCTTTCCACCAGGATTCCTTACTCGGTGCCAATGTATTGACAGATGTTATTACACTTGAAAATGGAACATTAGCTTGTTTGACATTCAACATTTAATGCTTATCCGCAGTTCATTTTTTAAGCTTCCATACATGTATGTGTCCTGCAAAAAATGTATTTTTTTTCCCCAAAGAACCCTAGCTCGACTTTGATAAAGCAGTCTGTATAAAAAATTGCATTTTTGTTGTACATTTTGAAACAAAATGTACCTTATACCAATTTTTTTTTTATGTCTAGCACACCCCCAAGCTGCACTGGAAGAACATAGCATTTATTATCATTGTGTATACACTTCAATATTGACCTTTGAATTTATCCAGTTAAATATGGAATGCTCTACATATTTCTTATCAATATATAAAGAGAGAGAGCCCAAGACACTTTAGCAAATATTCCCCTTACAATGAAGCTCATCTTCTTCGGGCTTCTGTGCACTTATGGTATATGTGTTTATTTTTTTATATAATGATAATAATAGTAAGAAAAAAAAACTTTTTTTATGTGTGATTAACAAGCAAGTGTGTTTTAGTTGTGTGCGCTTTGCCGCCATTGACTCCAGAACAAGAGGAGCTGGTGAAACAGCATGGGTAAGTATCTAGAGGATTGATTGATAGATTGTATGTAGTATCTAGAGGAACAAGTGCACGTAAGAAGCATTGATTGGTTTGTCATTATCATAGCTACTTTTTATCGTAATTTCTACTTTATAGATTGAAAGTACTATCCTTATCGAGCAATAACACATCATATTATCATGGCAAACGCGTGGCGCTGAAGCACAAGTACGTGGGAGCTAATGGGAACATACAGAACACGCGGTATAGCGGGGACTGGTTGGCAGTGGAGGCCACCACAGCCGTCAGCGAGAGGGGACACTACCTGGTATGTTTTAAATGCAATCCATATAATAACTTCTAAATCCTTTCACGAATTCAAATAACACTTTTTGGGGGAAACTGAGAATGACCCTTTTACTAAAGGTTGAAGTAGAGAAAGCAAATGCTTCAGATCCATCCTGAAAAGCCTTGGGAAAAGCTACCTATACAAAATACTAGACAATATATAATTGTTATATCTGTAAATATTGCTTCCTATGTAAATCTATACTTTAAAAAGTCCATATTTTTTTCTGAGGGATCCAAAATAAATTGACTGAGATGTTAGACTGTCGATGAGATATTGGACTGCTAAGACTTTTTTTACACCACACTATAGCGGAATCAGCTATATCTTGTCAATTGTAGCAAACATGGATTCAATCGCAAGATATGTCAAAATTAAAAAAAAAAATAACAAAACATTTATATGTGTTCTCGTGCAAAATGCGTTTTGTCGACCCCTCGAACCTTACGGCCTCAGACAAACATTTTGGTTGTTGGGTTAGACAAAAAGCATGTTGCCCCCGAACCTCAGTAAATGTATGATATTGCATGTTTTGGAGGGTAACAGTTGAAAACTTGAAATAATGACACTCTGAGAGAAAACTATTGTCAACTGACGCATCTGCCGAGGTTGACAATAGTTTTCCGAAGGGTTTCAATTTCAAGTATTGCCCTCCAAATCAGGCACTATACTACTGTAACTATAGTAAGTACTTTGATTTAATTTGAAACTTTACTTTAGAATTTATTGTGATTTCAGATCTTAAGATCTCTTGAATTCAATACCAACTAGATATCATTGAGATGGTGGCCATCTCAAAGGGCCCCGCTTTCAGCAACGAACATGAAAATCTAAGGTAGCTGAAAAGAGTTTATTTTGAAGAGGAACACTTGTGTACCATTAAGGGATGTGTTGTTTGAGTCTAAAGGGCTTCTATGTCATCCTTGTTATAATAAAAAATGGCATGAAAATCAAAAGTGCTCCATACCCTCTATCAAAAAGCAGCACAAAAATCACAAATGTTGCATATCCTCTATGAACACTATTGCATATATATCAAAATATGGAAGGAAAATCACAAATGTTCTGTACCCTAAATCACTTGGTAAAGTTTGAGGCTGACTGGACTTAAGAGAAAGAAACCATGTACCGAACAAAGATTTTTAACAGAGAGGCTATTTTTGACCTTGACCCTTGACCTAGAAACTTCGTTCAAGGTCACTGCACATCCATTGACCAGTGGCACTCTGAGAGTGAAGTATGAGCCACATTGGACCAAAAGGAGAGAAGATATGCTCTGGATGAGGATTTTTCATATAATTCTGCTATGACCTTGACCTTAGACCTAGAAACATGTTTCAAGGTCACTACACACTCTTTACCTGAAGGCACTCTGTGCGTGAAGTATGAGCCAGATTGGGCCAAGGAGAGAGAAGATATGCTCTGAACAAGAATTTAAACAGAGGGGCTATTTTTGACCTTGACCCTTGACCTAGAAACTTTGTTCAAGGTCACTGCACATCCATTGACCAGTGACACTTTGTGAGTGACGTATGAGCTACATTGGACCAAGAGGAGAGAAGATATGCTCCAGACAAGGATTTTTCATATAATTCTGCTATGACCTTGACCTTAGTCCGAGAAACATGGCTCAAGGTCACTGCATGCCCTTTACCCAAAGACACTCTGTGGATGGACTATGAGCCAGATTGGGCCAAGGAGAGAGAAGATATGCTCTGGACAAGAATTTAAACAGAGAGGCTATTTTTGACCTTGACCCTTGACCTAAAAACTTTGTTTAAGGTCACTGCACATCCATTGACCAGTGGCACTCTGTGAGTGAAGTATGAGTCACATTGGACCTAGAGGAGAGAAGATATGCTCCGGACAAGGATTTTTCATATAATTCTGCTATGACCTTGACCTTAGACCTAGAAACATGGTTCAAGGTCACTGCACACCCTTTACCCAAAGACACTCTGTGGGTGAAGTATGAGCCAGATTGGGCCAAGGAGAGAGAAGATATGCTCCGGACAAGAGATCTCGGACGGACAGACGGACGTTAGGACAGACTGATCACTATAGGGCGCCCGCAGAGCGGGGCCCTAATTATGTTCAATATGGAAATAATATGTAAATATTCAAATGACATTTCCATTTAATATAAAAAATGTACATGTATGGCCGTAGGAACCGGGGGGGGGGGGCGTGTCCCCCCCCCCCCCGCAATAATTTTGCCGATATATAGAATACTATAGAAAACATAGCTACTAATATGATTGTGCTCCCTCAATAAAAACGTCTGATTCCTAGGGGCCTGACATGTATGAATTGGAGAACTTATAATATAACAATCTGAAATCCATATTAAAAATACTTTGATCTACTATAGTAAAAACTTTGATTTACCAGAATAAATACTTTGATACTATTGTAAACAATATTGTTAAATATAACTATTGTTAAATATAGTACTTTTTAAGGGTTCTTCCTGAGACTTCTCATTAGCCAACTCATCTTTTGGAATGTGCAGAAAGATTTTGAAATTTTCATTTTTACCCAGGGGGCTAAATGGGGGTCAAAAAACAGGGTTTTTTTTGTTTTGTTTGTTTGTTTTTTGTTTGTTTGTTGTTGTTTTTTTTTTTTTTTTTTTTTTTTTTTTTTTTTTTTTACAAAAACTTGGTTCCCTGAACCCCTCTTACTTTTTTCGCAGCAGTCCGCCATTCATATTTTGGAGTATGATTGAAATTGTCCTGAAGATGTGCTATAAGGTTTCAGAATTTCGATTTTCACCCTGTGAGCAATCAGTGGTAAAAAAAAATGATGTTTTTCTACAAAAGACTGGATCCCTTGGCTCCTCTTTCATTTTTTGCAGTAGCCAACTCATCTTTTGATTGGGATTGTCCTGTAAATATGCAATAAAGATTTAGAATTTCAATTTTCTTCCTGGGGCGATTGAGTCTCAAAAAGTAAAATTTTCTAAAAAAAAAAAAAAAAAAAAAAAAAAAGGTCCCGAGAACTCTTATAGTTTTCGCTGTAGCCAATTCATATTTTTTTGAAATTTGATTGGGAGTGTCCTGTTGATGTACAATAAGGTTTCAGAATTCAGATTTTCACCTTAAGGGATGATGGGGGAGGGGGAGGATGTCAGAAAAAGACTTTTTTTCCTACAAAATCCTGCTTCATTTAACTTCTCTTAGATTTTTTGCAGAAGCCAAATCAACTTTTGGATGGTGATTGGTGGTGTCCTGTAGAAGTGCAATAAGGTTTTAGAATTTCAATTTTCACTCTAGGGAGCTAACTGGGGGTCAAAAATGATGGGTTTTTTTAAAAAAATAAAATCGGGTTCCTTTATCTCGTCTAACATTTTTCACAGTAGTCGAATCAAATTTTAGAATATCCTGTAGATGTTCATTTAGGTTTCGGAATTTCGATTTTCACCCTGGGAAAGACTGGGAACAGAAAACGGCCTTTTTGTTAATCATAGAATTTTTTTTCTATTTGTTGTTTTCAGACTCGGACTCAAGCTATCAAAACGCACAAATGCGTGTTGAGAATTCTACGACGAACCCTACGTACATTAATACACGCATATGACATTATCATTAAAACACCTGTTGTCAAGTGTGATGCTTGTGCTGAAGCTAACAATAAGAACTGGTTAATGCTTCTTAACCAATCAGATTTCAAAATTAAAATGAAAGTATATTAATAATAAATAGATTGTTACAGCTACCATTTGTAATGGGTTTTTGGAGATTGGTGCATTGACAACATATGTATTCAGTTTCATTTTTTTTTATTCAATGGAAGTCACATACACAAAGTAAGACGGGTGCCTGCTGGTACAGGTTACTTGGAGTTGGGTAAAAATAGGAACAATATTATCTGTTATCTTCTACATATGCATCAAACTGACTACACATATGATAATTTATAAAATATTTAAAGCATTCTTTTCTAAATTGCCATACAGTGCACTGAATACTGCTTCAAGCAAGTAGATCTGCATTATTTAAAAAAAAAACTGCAAAATAATTCAAACTACTTATTTGGCTCTTCTTTTTGAGTGTTTTCACACAAATTCGCTTATCAATATGAAGTCATGTACATACACATGTTTAAGAGTACATGTATGCTTCCGTCTTATAAATAATTTCAAATAACTTACTATCTGAGTCATGACTTTGTCATCATCTTTATCTGTGGAAACATACTGAACTTTGATTTTGCCAAACCTATGTATATTTACATCTCTGTAGAACTTTTTTTTCAAAGACTGCTTCCCAGCAAGTGCATAAAATGCAATTAATAGCTTTATCTTAAATGTTTCGACTTGTTTTGGTTTTTTTTAAAACACGGTTTCATTTAAGGCAGCCTTGATCGCGGCCAGGATGACCAAACACATGCCCTCCTCCATTTTCAGTGCTGTAGCTCGGAATGCCAAGATAGCAGTCTTTGCCCATGGTCAGGATATAACTATTTTCCCAGAGTATGCTGCTGAGAGGGACACGCCCCAGTGTCACAGTAAGCTGTTTAGGATCCCATTAAGCTGTCTAAGGACACAATAAGCTGTCTAAGGTCACAGTAAGCTAAGGTCACGTGAGCTGTCTAAGGTCACAGTAAACTGTCTAAGGACACAGTAAGCTGTCCAAGGTCACAGTAAGCTGTTTAAGGCCATAGTAAGCTGTCTAAGGTCATTATAAGCTGTCTAAGAAAATCTCTTAGTGACCTCTGAAATTTAGGCGCCAGTTGGCTCCTAATCAAAACAATTTAGTCGCCAATGCAAAGTTTTAGTTAGCTGCAGAACTGTAGCTCTCCGAAAAAAAAATTGACAGACCAGAGAGCTACAGTGCAACCCATAGAAAAAACTGTATATTTATTGCGCACAAAAAAGTGCGCTGTTTCTCGATTTATTTCTCCGTATTTTTAAACTGCAATCTCAAAATATTACTGACCGTGTGTTCCTAACACATTTTTGCACTATTTCCACATCAAAACATTTCCTATAACCGTTGTTATTAGGTCTCCTGGACCTGAAATTAAGACTATCCAAAATTTCGCCTGTTAATACTGCCATTTTGGGTGGCTAGACAGTTCGGCCAAACGCACTTCGTAAAGATGTCAACTACAAGAGTAGTCGATAGAGGTGTAAGGAATTTTTTGAAATCGAGCTTTTTTAGTGCAGCTGAGGTAAGAATTTGGAGAAATAAACCCAGGACCGAGCGCAATTTGTTGTGCGCAATAAATAGTTTTTTTCTATGGGTGGCACTGTAGTTCTCCGGTCTTTCATTTTTTTTCGGAGAGCTACATTTCTGCAGCTAAGTTTTAGTCGTCGAGCAAATTTTTCTTAGGCGCCAATTTTAAGAGCTGAAACGAGTCAATATAGAGACTGATGGGGTAGGCATGAGATGGGGTTTCTAGCGAGACTATCTTTGCCATCACCCCCCTCAAATCGTAATAGTGAAGTAGGAGATACAGTAACAAGGAAATGTTCAAAGTAAACTTGTAAAAAGACCGTTTTTGATTTGCAAATATTTTATACTTGATTGAAACCCAAGCCCCCCTGTTTTTTTTTTTTTGTTTTTTTTTCACTTTTTACTGTCCACATTCTACATGTATCAAAGCATTTGCCAGAAAAATAGGTTGTTTTTTTTTAAATCGTAGAGTAAAAATTACCATAAAATATAAGCCAGTTAAATGCTTAAAGATTTTAACTTAAGCATGCCTGTAAACTCTTATATTTAGAAAAAAATCGATCATTTATTTTTACGAAAGGTGGATTTAATGAAATATATTTAAAATTATAATAATATCGAGGATTGTTTACATTATTAATATATAACATTTTATGCTCGTCCGTACAATTACAATCTAACACTAATGTGTAGAAGATATATCTAATGAGTGAGAATTAAATTGGCAAACAATTGAACACATCACCCGTCCAATTTACTACATTTCATGTCCATTTTTGGGACCAAAAATTACTAGAGTCAGCTATGTCTTATTGGTCTTCGTGAGCTCTGTTTGCACGTGCGCTTACAGATAAAACAAACAATGAAGGTGACAAAAAATATAAAGAAATCTTCAGAAAAATATTTTAGAAAATGTTTATAGTTCCGAAATTTGACGATTGCCGCGTCAATTTAAATTTTTCGGCAGTTTGGCTAGTTATGGACAAATTTTAGGCGCAAATCAAAAAGTTCAGGTGCCATGGCGACTACATTAGAACCCTAGTAAGCCCTGCTAAGGTTATAGTAAGCTGTCTAAGACTCACTTGCTAAAGTGAGCTGTCTTAGGTCATAGTAAGCTAAGACTCTAAGGTCATAGTAAGCTATCTAAGACTATAAGGTCATAGTAAGCTGTCTAAGACTATAAGGTCATCGTAAGCTTTCTAAGACTCATAGGCAATAGTAAGCTGTCTAAGACTATAAGGTCACAGTACTAAATTAAGCTTTCCTTCCTTAATCTTTGGTATAATTCTTGAACTGGTTTCTTAATTAAAATTGTTAGTCCAATTAAAATTTATTCAAAACGCCAACCTTCATTGTCTTTATATTATTGTTCAAAAATGAAAGATATTCATGAATTGTTTTACAGCCTTTTTTTAATTCTGAAGAATATGTTATATTTCTTCATTTTTTGGGTCTATTTCATGCTTATCTTCTAATCGAATTAATATTACTGAAGAACTATTTTTTCACGATTATTGTTTGCAAGAAAAAAAGCACATATACGTATAAATGATATTAAAATATCTGCCGAAATGCACAGGAAGATGACAATTAATCTTATAGAGTAAATGATGAATGTGTTATAGATTTAGCGTGGAGGATTTTCCCGCCATATTGGAGGTAACTTTAATTTTAACTTTTTTTTTACTTTTGAAATTAATAACTTTCAAATTAAACATGTAAGGCAGGAATATATGGGGATTAATCTTTACAATATGAAAATTTAAACTATTGAAGCATATTCTGAAGAAAATTAATGTTTTCTACACTTCAATAGCCAGTATGACATGTGTGTATGTTAGCCAAATAAAATTTGAGCTCAAATATATGTTGACTAATGGGAAAAACCTCTTGCTTAAATCACATCTATTGCACAAAAAATATTTTCTACAAGAATTTATTTTTGCGCTTAATTAATTGCAGTAAAATAATTTGAATGTATTGCTGTAGTACTACAGGGTTAGCTTTTGTTTTCCTTTTAGACACTTGTGCTGGTTCCTGTTCAGTAACGTGTACGTTTGACCATCGTAAATACAACACATTGGCTGGAGTAGGGGGAGACACGTGTTGTATATTGGAGGATAATATTCTATGTAATTCACGTGATCCATATCATCACACCAACAATATTCTCATTCACGAATTTGCTCACACAATCCATAAACACCTGCCATCCTCTATTAGGAGTCAGGTAATGTTAACACTTCAAAAAGAAATTACGTGTGCAATATACATGTGATTTATGCTCTTTATGATCAAAGGATTACTTTTAATCCAAAGCTGTTGTTGTGGAAGTGTAGAATAGAACTAAAAAGGAAATCGGAAGTATCGATGGAAAATAAGAAGTTTAACTCTATGGAAATCAACCAAACACGATTAAAATACGTTAATCTATCTGAATCTGAACTGAATTTTTGCATACTGTCTAGTAGGTAATTCAACTAAAGAATCTGTAAAAATGAAGTTTTGGTTTCCTTAACAGATAACGGCGGCCTATAATAACGCCCGTTACCACAACCTTTGGACTGCTAGTTCCTATGCTATGGCTGATGAACGTGAGTACTGGGCAGAGGGGACAGGCTCATTCTTCATGGTAGACAAACAACCAACAGCTACTGGAGGAATGAACACGTGAGTTTTGTTGAAGAATGAGTACTCATTGAGTGAGGCAAAGGTTTATGAACGTCCTGATTGCAAGTGATCCCTCATATCATGACAGAAGATATCACTCCTTCAATGGAGTTACTTATTAAGTTCAAATCACCTCTTTAATGACAGTTTTCCCAGGGCTGAGGTGCGATGAGGCAAATAGGGGGGACAAAACATTACTGTCATTTGAATCTGTAAAACGGCTAAAATTTGCTATTCAAAGGATTAAATAAATAATGCATATACTGAAGGTAGTTGACAATGCTTTTCGCGGGGTGAAAATATTCAATGTTTCCTCAACTATACTCAATATTTATTATATTATACTGAATGTTTTATACAAATATATACGCTCAGTCAATATCTGTCAAGCAATGTTGACTGTTGCTACGTTCTATCACGCTGGAGGGCGTGGTTTCATTATTCAGAGGGTAATAGTGTTTTTCGAAGAATTAGATTTAACTTTTTAACCTAAAAGTATTTTTTAAAAATATATCTACCATTACTGCTCAATGTTTCATCACTCTAGGGAACATTTGGTTGGATGCCGTGATTCGTGCAGCATGTAATAGTTCACTTTATCCGCTAAAAAATAATCCATATACAACGAAGAAAAAAGTGTTGCAAAGGGAGAAGAAAGTTTTATAATATAGTAACCGGCTTTCTTAAAACTTTCATTCTAATATCACCGAGCAAAATTAACATTTTTAAATTAAAATAACTTTTTAATATATTATACTAAATTTGGACGTTTATCTGTTAAATTCTCTATCTATAATTATTGTATGTCTATTATTTAGTTGATTGTGTCTCATTCTCTTTGAAGCAGGATTAAGACATTCCAATTGACTTTAAGTGACGTGTCAAAAGAATTGATACTCGTTAGGTGTAAATACCTCAGGACCTGTTAATCTAATATCAATAACTTTGTTTATATAATTATTTAGCAATGTCTTTTATGTCCATTCCATCAAAGAAACACACCTGTCTATCAATTAACTCAGCTAGTGTCATAATTCAATTATTGTTTACTCTCTATCTTACAAAAAGCTATGTCCATTATACCTTCTTTAGTTTTGGAGGCCCGATGCTCTACCGGCCACATCCAACTCGGTTAAGACTTGTAAACTTTTGTTAAAATTCATGTTCATTGTTATTTACCATCGTCCATAATAAATTTGGAAACCTGATTTACCAATTCTTGGACTTTATATTGGAAGACCATAAGGAATACGGCACCTTTCTCGTTTACATTGTATTACGGTCCCACAGCGCCGCTACTTTATTACCCGCCAACATTCCTTCTTCCCCGTTTACGCTAGAACAACGGATATAGTCCAGGAATTATTTTTATAACTTATAACCAAAATCTAACTGGTTATAATTGGTGTTAGAATCGGGACGATCCCCTTTGTGTTGTACCTTTCACTACGCCAGCGACGTGTTCTACCCATGAGTTTAATTTCCCCTAACATCAAACATCACGATGGACTTTTATTTTCGACCAGCATGGACATCAACAAATTCTATATGGCCGCAATTTAGCTATGCCTTTAACAACCCTTCTACAAACTTTCCGCCATCAGTGTGTTTTAACTGTGGACAGTATGGACATTACGCCAAAAAGTGCCAAGCTCCTACTAAAAAGTCAAAATCTACAAAATTGCGCGATGCACGCAGAGCCCAACTTTTCTCCAACCGAAAACTATGTCTTAGAGAGCTGCCATTCCACAGTCTTAAAGAAGCTGCTTTTCACAAATGTGTGGACGTAACTTCATCTCTCCGCTTTGAAATTTCAAGAACAAAACAACAGCTTAAAAGCTCAAATATCCGGATCAAAGAACTGCTTCAAAAACTGCAAACCACCAAGCAAAACTTGGAATCAACAGAGAAACAGCTCAAATCTGTCCAACAAGCCTGTTCTTTGAAAGTTTCCCAACTAGAAACGAACCTCCAGACCGTACAGAAAGCCAAACCAGAATTACAACGAGAAATAATTGATCTCCGCATTGTTCTGAACAACGCCAATAAGAACAATACAATGGCCTCAGACCATGTATTAGTACTTTCTACCAAAAACCAAAAGCAGTGCGAGGAAATCCAGAATCTGACAACACAGCTTTACGCCACTGACCAGAACATGACAAAGCAAAGGGATCGGATAGCCGAGCAAGACGCAGAAATCAGATGTCTCCGCTTCAAAATTGATACTCAGGATCAAGAAATCAGTTCCTTCCGATTCACAATCGAATCTCAAGTTCAAGAGATAGAAAATCTACGCAATCAAGTCGAGGACCAGTACAACGGAATCGAAAGTTTAGAGTATACGATTGAATGCGAGAGACAAAACGGACATAATCCTTACCCCTCGTACAACAACTTCCACGGACAGTGCCAATATCAACACTTCTCGCCATTTTAATTTATTAGGTGTTCCTTTCTAAAACACGAGGACGTGTTTTCCCGGGGGCCGAAGGATATTATCACCGAGCAAAATTAACATTTTTAAATTAAAATAACTTTTTAATATATTATACTAAATTTGGACGTTTATCTGTTAAATTCTCTATCTATAATTATTGTATGTCTATTATTTAGTTGATTGTGTCTCATTCTCTTTGAAGCAGGATTAAGACATTCCAATTGACTTTAAGTGACGTGTCAAAAGAATTGATACTCGTTAGGTGTAAATACCTCAGGACCTGTTAATCTAATATCAATAACTTTGTTTATATAATTATTTAGCAATGTCTTTTATGTCCATTCCATCAAAGAAACACACCTGTCTATCAATTAACTCAGCTAGTGTCATAATTCAATTATTGTTTACTCTCTATCTTACAAAAAGCTATGTCCATTATACCTTCTTTAGTTTTGGAGGCCCGATGCTCTACCGGCCACATCCAACTCGGTTAAGACTTGTAAACTTTTGTTAAAATTCATGTTCATTGTTATTTACCATCGTCCATAATAAATTTGGAAACCTGATTTACCAATTCTTGGACTTTATATTGGAAGACCATAAGGAATACGGCACCTTTCTCGTTTATATTGTATTACGGTCCCACAGCGCCGCTACTTTATTACCCGCCAACATTCCTTCTTCCCCGTTTACGCTAGAACAACGGATATAGTCCAGGAATTATTTTTATAACTTATAACCAAAATCTAACTGGTTATACTAACTCGAACAAGCTTTGGAGCCTATATACATATGTGTATATTATGAAGATCAAAAATGTGATCACGTAAACGTTGTGGTCCATGTACCTATAGCTTGTTTTATTAAATAATCTACTAATAAAAAATGGGAAAGGACTATCTAAGTTTTCGGAACTTGTGTCCAATCCCTTTGACATATTGTCAATAAAGTATGTTCAAAACAAAAAAATATTTGACAAGTGTTATTGCTCATTAATGACATTTGTCAAAACCGACATGTTAAATACTTCACAAAGAAAGCTCACAAATGAAAATGTCACATGTTTCTTAGTGTGTGTGTGTTTCTTTTTTTTCAAATTAAAATTGAAAGGTTACAATCAATCAGTAATAATGATTGAATGGCATGTGCTCTTTAGATGATTATTTCGGTAAGGACTCTCAAATACACGTGGGACAAAGGATATATATATATATATATATATATATATATATATATATATATATATATATATATATATATATATATATATAAAGGCCTTCAGAATTTCGTCATTTATTAAAAGGAAGCAAAATATTCGTATTAAGATGAAGAATGCATGTATATTCTCTCGTTATACACATAATCATTTTTATTCAACAGATGTGGACACACCCATTGTCAGACGGAACAAGAAGCCCGTTATTATATTTACCAGAAGGACTCTAAGCTGTATTACGCATTGTCCTACGTCTATCTTAACTACCAATATACGGTGCCGTCAAATCTGGCAACTTGTGTCACCGGATGATAATAAAACGTCTACTAAGACTCTGTTTTTATTTTTTTTCCTTCAAATTTTGACTCAATTTTGAAGGATGTTTGCAGACGACAGAATTTCTTAGGATTTATGACAATCAATTAGGTTGTTGTAAAATCTAAGCTACTTTTTATAAAGTCCTTTACCGATATTTTAATAGGTTAATATTGATAGTCTATTTTTATTCCCGCTAACTTGTCTGTGTACTTTTTTCCCGAGCGCAAATCTTATTAGTCCCCTACCGGTGAAACCGGGGGGGGGGGGCTGTAGGTTTCCTCTGAGTCCGTCCGTCTGTCTGTCTGTTTAGCTGTCCGTCTGTCCCTCTCTCTGTCTGTCCCACTTGGTTTTCCGCACTTTTTTTCTAAACGCTTGCAGATGTTGAGCTGATTTTTGTTATGTGACTTTACCTTGATGAGTTATAGATCAAGTTTGCATTTCGTTACGCTTCACTGATTTTTGACGGAAATACGGCATTTTCAATTCTTAACGGGAACCAGATTACACTTGCCGGTAGGGGACTAGTATTGCTAATGCAATACTCTCAGAATGCTTGTTCACAGAAGGGGTCTTTCTTGTATATAGC